TCTGTGTGTGCAGGTGACTATTACTGTGCATAATTATTAGGCAACTTAACAAAAAACAAATATATACCCATTTCAATTATTTATCATATCGTCAACTTTTCTTTAATATCAGGTGTGTTTCCAGAACCACTAAAAACTGCTGTAATCAAACCTATACTGAAAAAGGACAATCTTGACAAGACACAAATGAAAAACTACAGGCCGATCTCAAATCTCCCATTTTTAAGTAAGATCATTGAAAAAGCAGTTTCTCAACAGCTCAATTACTTCTTAAAACAGAATAACTGCTATGATGCCTTCCAGTCAGGTTTTAGACAGAACCACAGCACTGAAACCGCTCTGACCAAAGTGTTTAATGACATATGTCTGAACACAGACAGTGGAAAAATGTCAGTCTTAGTTTTACTGGATCTCAGTGCAGCATTTGATACAGTTGACCACAACATATTACTCAAACGACTGGAGAACTGGGCAGGTCTTTCAGGAACTGTACTAAACTGGTTCAAAACATACTTAGAAAACAGGAAATACTTTGTATCAATAGGTAACTTCACATCTGAGCAGACAAGTATCACATGTGGAGTTCCCCAAGGTTCCATCTTGGGACCCCCTTCTGTTTAACATTTACATGCTCCCACTGGCACAGATTATAAAGAACAACAAAATAAACTATCACAGCTATGCAGATGACACACAAATATATATCACAATGTCACCAGGAGACCGAGGCCCTGTACAGGCTCTTGGTAAATGCATTGAGGAAATTAATGACTGGTTGTGCCACAATTTTCTCCAGCTAAACAAAAACAAAACTGAGGTAATAGTCTTTGGCGCCAAAGAAAAACGATTACAGGTCACCAGAGAACTTCAATCTATACATCTAAAAACCACAAACCAGGCGAGAAATTTGGGTGTAGTGATGGATGCAGACCTAAACTTAGAAAAACACATTAAGACAATAACAAAGTCAGCTTACTATCACCTCAAGAATATTTCAAGGATAAAAGATCTGATGTCTCAACAGGACCTGGAAAAACTAGTCCATGCATTCATCTTTAGTAGGCTTGATTACTGTAACAGCATCTTTACAGGTCTACCTAAAAAATCAGTCAGACAACTACAGCTCATTCAGAACTCTGCTGCTCGAGTCCTCACTAAGACCAAAAAAGTGGACCACATCAGTCCAGCTCTGAGGTCTTTACACTGGCTGCCTGTCCGTCAGAGGATAGACTTTAAAGTTCTGATGCTGGCCTATAAAGCTCTGAATGGTTTAGGACCAAAATACATCAGTGACCTCCTGACCCAGTATGAACCTTCCAGATCCCTCAGGTCATCTGGATCCGGTCTTTTATCAGTTCCCAGAGTCAGAACCAGACACGGAGAAGCTGCATTCAGCTTTTATGCTCCTATATCTGGAACAAACTCCCAGAAAGCCTCAGATCAGCTGAAACACTCAGTTTATTTAAATCCAGGTTGAAGACTCACCTGTTCTCAGCTGCATTTGAATAAAGCACCAAATCCACACTTTTAAGCTTAAATTTCAAAACTTACATTTAACTACTGATTTTATCTATGTTCTGATTTTATCTGTTTTGATTTTATATACTGTTTTGTTTGTTTGTTTGTTAACTTAGTTTGTTTGTTTGCTTGTTTTAATCAATTTTAAATCATGCTTTTTATTTGTTTTTGTTTCTAATGTCTCTGTAAAGCACTTTGAATCACCTTGTTGTTGAATTGTGCTATACAAATAAACTTGCCTTGCTTATTTTTACCAGTGAACCAATATAACATCTCCACATTCACAAATATACATTTCTGACATTCAAAAACAAAACAAAAACAAATCAGCGACCAATATAGCCACCTTTCTTTGCAAGGACACTCAAAAGCCTGCCATCCATGGATTCTGTCAGTGTTTTGATCTGTTCACCATCAACATTGCGTGCAGCAGCAACCACAGCCTCCCAGACACTGTTCAGAGAGGTGTACTGTTTTCCCTCCTTGTAAATCTCACATTTGATGATGGACCACAGGTTCTCAATGGGGTTCAGATCAGGTGAACAAGGGGCCATGTCATTAGTTTTTCTTCTTTTATACCCTTTCTTGCCAGCCACGCTGTGGAGTACTTGGACGCGTGTGATGGAGCATTGTCCTGCATGAAAATCATGTTTTTCTTGAAGGATGCAGACTTCTTCCTGTACCACTGCTTGAAGAAGGTGTCTTCCAGAAACTGGCAGTAGGACTGGGAGTTGAGCTTGACTCCATCCTCAACCCGAAAAGGCCCCACAAGCTCATCTTTGATGATACCAGCCCAAACCAGTACTCCACCTCCACCTTGCTGGCGTCTGAGTCGGACTGGAGCTCTCTGCCCTTTACCAATCCAGCCACGGGCCCATCCATCTGGCCCATCAAGACTCACTCTCATTTCATCAGTCCATAAAACCTTAGAAAAACCAGTCTTGAGATATTTCTTGGCCCAGTCTTGACGTTTCAGCTTGTGTGTCTTGTTCAGTGGTGGTCGTCTTTCAGCCTTTCTTACCTTGGCCATGTCTCTGAGTATTGCACACCTTGTGCTTTTGGGCACTCCAGTGATGTTGCAGCTCTGAAATATGGCCAAACTGGTGGCAAGTGGCATCTTGGCAGCTGCACGCTTGACTTTTCTCAGTTCATGGGCAGTTATTTTGCGCCTTGGTTTTTCCACACGCTTCTTGCGACCCTGTTGACTATTTTGAATGAAACGCTTGATTGTTCGATGATCACGCTTCAGAAGCTTTGCAATTTTGAGACTGCTGCATCCCTCTGCAAGATATCTCACTATTTTTGACTTTTCTGAGCCTGTCTTGTTGGGACAGCCCTTCCTCCTCCAACGTACCCCTAACCACAGGCTGCACCACTCTAGACTGCTGCCTGGTGGTCCATTTGAGGAACTGCAATGCACAGTTGTTGGTAAGAGATCTGCAACACTATCCTCATGTTATTAGCCAAACTCATATGTAGCTACCTCACATTCTCATGGCACATCGATACCTTAAGTTCACTCTGCTCTCATCTACGGCTGTGGGTAGTGAATAATTAAAATGTTCACCGATGCAAGTCATGGGAATTGGCTTCCTTTGAAAGGTGTCTATGCTCAGCCTTAGAGATGGGCTGAGGAACACAGCCTGCATCATAAGGAGTCAGTTGAGTTGATTCAGGCATCTGACTAGGATGGTTGCTGAACATCTCCTCGGAAAGATGTTTTGGGCATGTCTGACCAGGGGAACTCTGATGAAAACACAGTCAAGTTTATGTTTACATACAGTCAATACCATTATTTTCTTTTTTTTAAATCCATTCAATTGGCATAGTGTTTGATAGTTATGTAATCATAGTTTCAGGATGCTATTGAAAAGTATTATTCACTCACTGATGAGTTAAAGCAGTAGCAGCTGTGAGGGCTGTTGTGTTGCTAATTGTAATATTGGTCACTTCTTTTACAAGTGTTTTGTTTGTTTTTAAGTGTCTGGGCAAGTTTGGTCCTCTGAGATGTGGAGAGATGTATGCCTTGGACAGACTGCTGAGAGAGGCTCGTGTCCTCGAAATCATCCGACGCGTCACCAAAGAAAACCCACAGAAAATCAGACCAGCTACTGAAGGTGATTAGTGCCGTTTATGTTCATTTCATGTGCATTTGTTTAAACATCCATAAAGGCATCTATTCAGATTAACTGTATAGACAAGAAAAAGAAGTTGAAGAGGAATTTTCATTAGTGGGAGCATTCCTTCTGGAGCATAAGGGTGAAAATGTCTGCTTTTGGCTTGGATGACAACTAGTGTCATCAGAAACATTTCATGGGTATATGGAAGTAGAGATTCCACTAAATAATAAGTAATTATGGATTTGTGTCATGCAGCCTGTCAAGAAGGTAAAACAGACTTTACAAGGCACTGATTCAAAGCAAGCTGCAACCTTATACTATTAATAAATTTCCTGTGTTATGTATGGCACTAACCCCCAGTATCTTGCTTTCCTACCTTGCTTGTAACGGTCTCCTGTTTTCTGTTTGTCAGTTATCCCGGCGCTAGGTCTGTGCCTGGGTGCTGTGTCGCTATGGCAAGAATGTGTGGGACAGGGTAGCATGTACAGCGTCTCTGCTGAAAGGTTCCTGAATACACTGTCGACGATCTACGCTGGTTTACTGCCTGAAAGGGCCGAAGCAGGTAAATCATCATTAGTGGGTATACTGCACACGCTGGTATGTGGAGCATATTAACATCTGTGTTTGTGTGTATGCAGTGTTCTTGTGCCTGGTTGAGCGTGTACTGGATCAGAGGTTACCACGACGAGGAAGCAGCAGGGACAACATGATGGTGACGTTGTTCCAGCTGTGGAGCTACTTGGACTCGAATGCTGTCAGTGATATGGACACACACATCATTGAACTGGCAAAAGAGGGTGGGCACACACACACACACACACACACACACACACAGATGATAGGTCAGATACATACTCGTTAAATGTTTAAGACCAGATTTACTAATTGTCAGTGCCAGTTCAAAACCTTCTTTTCATTTTAATAAGCATTTACACATTTGATACTGTGCCACAGTATCGTGTGTGTGTGTGTGTGAGTGTGAGAGAAAGGTACCAGATGCTCTCATTTTCACTTCCAAAGCTGTGAGCATACTGTTAGCATGGCAGGTGTGTGCATGTGTGGTAGCCTACTATTTCCTGCTCTTTCCAGATGTATGTATAAAAAATGTATTAAAGTGAACATTTTCATAATTGACAACAAAAATATCTACAATTTTATAACTAAAAGTTTTCATATTTTTATTTTCAATGAAACATTTGCATCTGCACATCCTGCAGGTCAGCTATTACAAACTGAGTTCTGGTGTGTTCCACAGTAGAGATTATAATCTCTTAGCCCTCTGAAACCTGTTGATGCTTTATCAGCTACCTCTCTGAATTCCCATGCTGTTTCCAAAGAGGATCACATGTGTAAAAACCTGCATTTGCAATGTTTTTTTTTTTTGTTATTACATTACTTGATCCATCTTGAAGAATTTTCCACTCGTTTCCGCAATAATCTGCAGTTGTGGCATGAAGCTCTGTAGCTCTGTTTATTAGATCAGGCCCATGGAGTGTGCTGGAAGCAACAGTCCAGCCAGGCAATTGCCTGATTTGTTCCCGCATTAGTTAAATTCAATGTAGTAGGGCAGTTAGCAGGAGAAAGACTATATTATGGTCCAAAAGTTTTGGATATATTTCTCATTACAGCTCAGCTGTGTGACGTATACGAGGTTTCAGGGCTGTAGTGTAAAAATGGCTTAAAAGGAAAAACAAGAGTAAAACTTGTGCTATTAATAACCTTCCTTCAACAGTATGGTTGGTACAGAACCTGGCGTCATCTGACCAGGATGTGATTGTCAATGCTCTACGCCGCCCTGCAGAGTGCAGCCTGAGGAGAGAAGGAATTCATGCCGTGGCCAAATTACTAAAAGATCCTCGGGGCAAAGTGTCTGCCTCTGCCAGCTCTGTACTGAGAAGCCTCGCTGCTCAGCCCAGACAGAGAAAACAGGTGAGGTGTGTGTGTGTGTGTGTGTGT